TCACATCGGTATTCGCTAGCGTGAGTGGGCGAGTCTTATCAGGCGACCGAACAAGGACAGCGGGGTTCTCGTCGTCTTGAGGTCTTTGGGCAGAAAACACATCCTTCCTCGACGCATGCACGCCGAAACAGTACCCCCAGACGCCTGATACATCTCCACATAAACAGCGAATAAAACATCAGCCCCCCCCCCCCCCCCTCCCAGCTTTCCAGCACCCATACGGAATGCCATCCTACCCAGGGGCAGAGTGATGCTTATATCGGGCTCGCTCAATAAAATCGTCAACCTTCAACTTCCAATGCGAAGGGTCCAACTGGATCGGCTGGGCATGGGCGAGGATTTCAAGCCATAAAGTCCGATCAGGTTCCTCGGCAGCAAAAACCGCCTGCCAGTGGTCCCGAAGGGCCTCAGCAGAGGCCGTCGGGGAAGGGCACACCTGCCCTGAACTGTCCAGGATCCCAGAGAGCCCGCACCGCCGACGCATCTTAGACCAGGCTCGACGGAAGCGTTGCAAGCGGGCCATTGCCTTAGCCTTAGACTTCTCGTCATCCCCCCACCCGTCCATCGCCCGCTCCTCCGACTCATACCAAGCATCCTTCAGAGACTGCACCAAAGCACCCAGACCTGCTATATCCAAGCATCTCTCACGGTCTGGATCAAAGTACTGAAGCAACCGAGGATACGCACGGATCGCACGCACACACTGGTCGAACCTGTTCGTACGCCACCCACGGAAAGCCGTCATAGCAAAGTGGAGCTTCTCACACTTCTCCTTAGGGGGCTTCATCCGAAGCCGAGCCTCGAACAGAGGGACCACCTGCCAGAAAATCTCCTTCACCCGAGCCAGTTTCTCCCGAGGGGTCAAATCCTGGTCGATTTCCATAATGGCGCTGGCACGCAACTCATGGTAAACACAATGACGGGAAATCCACTTAGGAATCTGGGTGGGCAACGCCAATGGCATTCTCAGAGCGACAGCGGCCACAACAGGGATATGGTCGGACGAGGCGAAGGTCTTCACGGCACGTCCCAGGGTATTTTACCGTCACCGCCAAATCATTCAAGACGGGGGGCAGAGAGAGAAGTGTAGATGCGGTCCAGACGGGCAACCCCACGGACTTCCCCCTGGAACACGTCACGCCGTGTCGGATCTGGTTGGAAAAGCTCAGCCCAAGACCCACAAATAGACTGAAATGCATCAGTGTGTCCCCTATCCCCTGCTAGCCACGTGCCGTCAATACGAAACCGCCCCTCATCCACCTCCATAAAGTCCCAATCCCCTGCAATCAAGCACATAGTGTGCGCAGCCAAAGGAAGGAACGCCTGAATCACACACAGGCACCTGCGATACATCGCAACAGGATCAGAAGTGTTCGGCATGTGAACATTGACAATCACTAGGCCCCCACGACGCCCCTTCAGGTGCGAGGCGAGAACTCGGCCAGCAATCAACGGGAACGGAGTGATCGATTCGAACTGCGAAGCCAGCATACTCGATATAACAGTAACCACACCGCCCCCAGCTCTCGGATCGATCATCGAATGGTGAACAATTGCACTGCGACAACGGCCATCACGCTGTAACATCTCCACATCAGACACTGTGCCATGGGTCTCCTGTAAACACACAGCGTCGAACCTGCCAACAAGACCATACATCTGCTTATACCGCCGAGCTGCCACGAAGCAGAGTACGAAGAGAAGAGAGCACGTGTATTCCAAGAGCACAAGGTAAGCGCAGAAGAGGGAACGAACACCCCATTCGCTCCAGAGGACGGGTCACCAGGGGTAAACGGTCCGCCGGAATTCAAATTAAAACACTGGTTGGCTGACTGAGCACCGTCCTGGCTAGTCGGCACACGGGTCCGATGGTTTCCATCGACAGGCCCTACATCCCAGGGAGGGCCCGAACCACCAGGGACCCGACAAAAATTGCCAGGCAGCGCACTATGAATCCCGAGGCAGGGTGCCCCAGGACAACTGTGGGCCTCACGCAAATGGCCGAATCTGATCAAACAGGGTTGCAATGCAGCCCGCGCGCTCGCCTACCCCAAACGTTCCGAGGGCCTCAGGAATCAGAACGAGTTCAGGGCGACCGCACTCACGGACCGTGACCTTCGCAAGAATCACTGGGTGAGTTGCCGCAATGAGACCGCATATCTGACCGCCGAGACCGTTGCTGCCCACCTGGAAACCTTTCCCCCCCAAGACCTTCCCGATGATCGCACGAGTCTGCCCCAGGTAGTAGAACAACTCACGGCTGGCGGGGAGCAAGTCACGACGCACACGGAGCTCCCATCCCTGGTTATCAATCGGGTTCTGGTACACAGTCTGACCAATGGTCTGGCTCTCACCGAAGAACGCCGTGCACGACAAAGTACTGTGGAAGTCAAGAATCACCTTCCGCGCGAGGGAGTATGCTCGCACGATCGGTGCTTCACCAGCTGGACTACACGCAGCAACGATAAGGGCCACCGCTTCCTTGAGAGACGCTTCCAGAAGGGGTCTCTCAAATCCTAGAACGATGAGACGAGTAGCACTGGCTTGGTCTGGTCCCGACGTCCTCATCATCTTCCGACGCCCTCCATCCCCATCACCTCCCACGAGCTCGAACTCCGAATCGGCACGAGTCGACGAACCAGCTGAGAGCTTCTGCTGTAACTCATGCATCTGAACATCGATCTTAGCCACTGCTGCAGCCAACTTCGCATCTGTGTCAACCGAGACCTGGTGGATCGCTGCGTCCTGGGATTTCTTTATCTCTGCCCAACGAGCCTCCGAGCGACGATTCATCTCCGCGAACTCCTCCTGCATTCGATCGAAGTTGGCCCCCATCACTGTCACCTGCTGGCGAAACAACTCAAACTCTGCTGTGTGCGAGGGAAACCCTTCTTTCACGATCGCCGTCAACGCACTGAGCTGCATGGGCACCTCCGACTGTACCTCGGGCGCGGCGGGCGGCGCACTCCCTCCCACGGCCCCCGCAGGGGCAGGAGAGGGGGACAGTCCAGGCGAGCCACCCATGGAGCCTGCCACGCGAGCGGCCTCAGCCATGGCTGGAGGGCGAGGGACAGAGGCGGGCGGCCGACGGCCGAGGCGCGCGCGGCCCGAGGGAGGGGGAACAGGAAGACCCGGGGAGCGGGTCGGGGGGAGCCGGGCCGTGCGGGTCACGCAGACCACCCTGAGCCGATACGGCTGGAGCCAAAATGGCTACGGAGGATGAGGAGGAGGAGGCGTAAACCTTCAGCGCCCGCTTCCATCGGGGCCCGTTTGCTCCATGGCGGTCAGAGACCCCGCAACGCCAACGAAAGTTTGGGGAGTGGAAAGACGTGCCGATGCCGCCACTCCCCAGGCCTCTCCCAGCATGCATGCTGACCAGAGTTCCGAAGAGAGCACGACTGTGGCGACGAGAGCTGTGCAAGACAAGCCGCGGTATCGGTATACCGTATATGTCGGGGGCGGCCAAGAAGGGGGCGTCCAAGAGGGGGGGGTGCAAATCATGGCTGGCGGCACGTGCGCGGCCCAGGGGGGCCCAGGGACGTAATGAGATAGGAAGAGGCGCCATGAAATCTGGGGCAATATCATGGCCCACGCCATGATATCCACCCCCCCTAGTCATCACCCCTCGGGCAGGGCGAAAGGGGGGGATAGCAAAGGGGGGGGGGGAAAATCAGCTCACGTAGCTGATTTTCCCGACGCCTCCTGGCGCCGGGAGGCGCCCATGTATCGAGGAATGGGCCCCTCGGCGAGGCCGAAACCAGCTGCATGCAGCAAATCCCACCAGCCCTCTGGGCGTAGGTGGTCTAGAGCAGATCCTCTTCCACCCCTCCCTCTTCCCCCTTGGGGAGGGGTTTACCCCTCCCCCTACCACCTCCCCTGGACCTGGACGGGGGGGGCCGCGGCGCGTTGGAGCGTCCAAGATGGCCAAAGATGGCTTCAAAAGCGCCTCAGAGAGCCAAAGATGGGCTCCAAGATGGCTCAAGATAGCGCAAGATCGCTCACGATGGCTCCCAAGATGCTCCAAGAGGCCCCAAGACGATCCCAAGACGGCTCCAAGTGGCCAAAGAGCTCCCTAAGGAGGCCCCGACGAGGCCAAAATCGTCCCAAACCTAAGGAAAAACCATGTTTTTTGCTTTCTCGCCTTTTCGCTTCCGATGGACATCCGAGGCCTCAATATGGCTCCAAGATGGCACAAAAGGGCCCCACGAGAGGCCCAAGAGAGCCCCTAAGACGGCCCCAAAAGCGCCCAAGAGCGCTCCAAGAGGGGCCCAAGAGGCGATCTATGGGGCTCCCGAGGGGGGAGGCTAATTGGAGCTCCCCTCTTGTTTGATCGACTCCCTCCAAGATGGCCCCAAGAGCGTCCCTACAGCCCCCAAGAGCGCCCCAAGAGAGCCCCCAGAGGCGCCAAGACGTCCCCAAGAGGCGCCCAAGAGGCCTCCAAGAGGCTCCCAAGAGACCCCCAAGAAGCCTCAAGAAGATTTCCGAAAAGGCATTCAAGACGCTTCTGGCTCTTCGGTTCGCCGTCCTCTTCCTCTTCCTCTTCCTCAACCACCTCTTCCTCTTCCTCCCTCCTCCTCCTCTTCCTCCCCCTCCTCCTCATTATCCTCCTTCTCCTCCTTCTCGTCCTCCTCGTCCTCCTCGTCCTCGCCCTACTCCATATCCTCCTCATTATCCTCCTCCTTTTCCTCCTCCTCCTCTTCCTCCTCCTCCTCCGACGACGACGACGACAACGACGATTCCTCCTTCATCCTCCCCCTCTCGGGGTCTGTGACAGCTTCCCCCGCCCTTTGTTATTCTGCATGCTCCCCGGGTTCCCTGATCACCTCAACTCCCCTGAGCATCGTTTCTGGATGGGCTGGTGGGGATACGCGAAGCGTCAACAATTTCGTAACCCCCCCTTTTCCAATTCCCCCCCTTTCGTCCGGCCCGACCCCTCTTTGCAGCCCCCGAATATGTTTCCCTCCTCTGGGGAAATCTCGCTCGCCGGGCGGGCGCCCCGCCTGTCGATCCTTCTGCGGCGTGTCGAGCTGCGCGGTGGGCTGGGGTCCTGCCGTGCGGCCGTCTCCCGGGGAGTCGAGGGGGTGGCGCCCTGCTGCCATCGTTCGAACGTCCATTCCCTGTGTTTTTTCCCCAACCAACCTGTGTTGTTGGGTCCTCGTTTTGAAGAGACGGTGGCCCACGTCTCTTCTTTTCTCCTCCTCTCCTCCTCCTCCCCCTCCTCCCCCGCGCACCCATTTCGGCACACCTCTCACACGCTTCGTGGCCCCATAGGGAGCTCCGCCGAAGGTCCCAGCGGGTGTGCCCGCATGCGTCCCGCACACCCATTTCGGCACACCACTCACACGTTTCGTGGCCCCATAGGGGAGCTCCACCGAAGGTCCCAGTGGGTGTGCCCGCATGCGTCCCGCACACCCATGTCGGCACACCCCTCACACGCTTCGTGGCCCCATAGGGAGCTCCACAGAAGGTCCCAGTGGGTGTGCCCGCATGCGTCCCGCACACCCATTTCGGCACACCCCTCACACGTTTCGTGGCCCCATAGGGAGCTCCACCGAAGGTCCCAGTGGGTGTGCCCGCATGCGTCCCGCACACCCATTTCGGCACACCCCTCACACGTTTCGTGGCCCCATAGGGAGCTCCACCGAAGGTCCCAGTGGGTGTGCCCGCATGCGTCCCGCACACCCATTTCGGCACACCCCTCACACGTTTCGTGGCCCCATAGGGAGCTCCACCGAAGGTCCCAGTGGGTGTGCCCGCATGCGTCCCGCACACCCATTTCGGCACACCCCTCACACGTTTCGTGGCCCCATAGGGAGCTCCACCGTTCATGCACCACCCATTCACACGTTTCGTGGCCCATAGGGAGCTCCACCGAAGTCCAGTGGTGTGCCGCATGCGTCCCCACACCCATTTCGGCACACCCCTCACACGTTTCGTGGCCCCATAGGGAGCTCCACCGAAGGTGTGGGTGTGCCCGCATGCGTCCCGCACACCCATTTCGGCACACCCCTCACACGTTTCGTGGCCCCATAGGGAGCTCCACCGAAGGTCCCAGTGGGTGTGCCCGCATGCGTCCCGCACACCCATTCGGCACACCCCTCACACGTTTCGTGGCCCCATAGGGAGCTCCACCGAAGGTCCCAGTGGGTGTGCCCGCATGCGTCCCGCACACCCATTTCGGCACACCCCTCCACGTTTCGTGGCCCCATAGGAGCTCCACCGAAGGTCCCCGCATGCGTCCCGCACACCCATGTCGGCACACCCCTCACACGTTTCGTGGCCCCATAGGGAGCTCCACCGAAGGTCCCAGTGGGTGTGCCCGCATGCGTCCCGCACACCCATTTCGGCACACCCTTCACACGTTTCGTGGCCCCATATGGAGCTCCACCGAAGGTCCCAGCGGGTGTGCCCGCATGCGTCCCGCACACCCATTTCGGCACACCCCTCACACGCTTCGTGGCCCCATAGGGAACCCAGCGAAGGTCCCAGTGGGCGTGCCCGCATGCGTCCCGCACACCCTTTCGGCACACCCCTCACACGTTTCGTGGCCCCATACGGAGCTCCACCGAAGGTCCCAGCGGGTGTGCCCGCATGCGTCCCGCACACTCATTTCGGCACACCCCATCACACGCTTCGTGGCCCCATGGGGAGCTCCACCGAAGGTCCCAGTGGGTGCGCCCGCATGCGTCCCCCACACCCATGTCGGCACACCCCTCACACGTTTCGTGGCCCCATAGGGAGCTCCACCGAAGGTCCCAGTGGGTGTGCCCGCATGCGTCCCGCACACCCATTTCGGCACACCCTTCACACGCTTCGTGGCCCCATATGGAGCTCCTCCGAAGGTCCCAGCGGGTGTGCCCGCATGCGTCCCGCACACCCATTTCGGCACACCCCTCACACGCTTCGTGGCCCCATAGGGAACCCACCGAAGGTCCCAGTGGGCGCGCCCGCATGCGTCCCGCACACCCTTTCGGCACACCCCTCACACGCTTCGTGGCCCCATACGGAGCTCCACCGAAGGTCCGAGCGGGTGCGCCCGCATTCGTCCCGCACACCGATTTCGGTACACCCTTCACTCGCTTCGTGGCCCCATAGGGAGCTCCACCGAAGGTCCCCGTGGCGCAGTCCGCACGCGTCTCCACCGCCCAGTGCACCTCCGTCGGAGGCCGTCGGGGTTCCGCGCCTCCCTCGCCCGTCGTCGCTCTGCCCAGCGGCAAGAGCCTTGCCCGCTATCAGCCAGCCTGCTAGCTCTCTTTGCTGCGCGCAGCGGACGACCCGCGCGCGTCGCTGGGACCCCTCCGGGGCGACCTGCGCGCGTCGCTGGGACTCCGCGCTGCGCCGCGCCCGCAGCTTTGGACATTGAGTGCGCGGGCAAAGAGGGAGTAAAAGAAGGGGGGGAGCGGGCGCGATCCTCGCGGCGGCGTCGCGGCGCGCGGGCGACGCCGTCGGGGAGCCCCGGGGAAGCTCCTTGCGGCGGCCACGCCCAGCGTCACGAGTACTCAGAGGCAGTCATTCACAAACTATTAACATTCATATGCAATTGCACCATGGATTGGCATGCTCGCATTCATGCACGTAGACTCGCTCGCACGCAGATTCATTCACAGTCAGACGCACTCGCGCTCAGATTCACCCGCGCGCAGTCTCCATACGTGCTCAGATCAATCGTTTTCGTTCGCGTTGTGTACCACGCCATTCATTTTGGCACACCACTAGCACGGTTCGTTGGCCCATAGGGATCACCACCGAAAAAGCTAATCACAATTGCGGCACTCACACCTGCATATGGTTGGGTCCTTCGTCTGGCTAATGTTCGGTTTCGTGCGTGGCTTTTTCGCCAGATGATCGAGGATGCTCCTCGATGGCCCTCGCCGAAGGAAAGATGCACGCGTCCGAGCGATGCCAAGGCCCTGCTGCCAGCCTATCACCGGAGATCCCCGCCAAGATCCAAACTGTGAGTGGAAAGCGTTCTGGGAACCTGAGACCACGCAGATCCACGCATCTGTATTCGTCAAAAGATGGAAGAGCACACCGCGAAGCGAATCCATCCATGCGAAAACCACGACGATTGCTACATGCAGGTTGGAATCAGCAAAAAAACATCGACCGCTCCTTGGTGCTAACCCGCAACGGCCTCGGATTACGCAGCGGATTTTGCATTTCATCGACCAGAGGAACGCGTCTAACTACCGCAATGGCGACGCGGACGAGGTCAGAAACATCAACAAACAAATTCAATCGTTTGCGCGAGCGGAAAGGAAGAAATGGCCGCAAAACCACGCTTAGCACGGTGGCTGGGAGGCGGTCCGGCGTCTGAGGAAAGGCCGGTCATCTCAGCACGTGCGGCTGCGCATTCTCAACGGGAATAGTGGACGCAGAGTCCACGGCGGAAGCTTTGGCTGATTGTCCCGCCAGCCCTCTGGGCATAGGTGGTCTAACGGTATTATTCCTTTCCTTTTCCGAAATCCCCTCTTCCCCTTCGGGGGGGGGCCTACCCCCCCCCCAGCCCCCTGCCCCGGACCTGGAAGGGGGGGCCCGCGAAGGGTTGCAGCGCCCAAAATAGCCCAAAATGGTTCCAAGAGGGCCTCCGATGCGCCAAAATGGCCTCCAATATCGCTCAAGATAGCCCAACATGGCTCAATATAGCTAACAACATGCCTCCAAGAGGCCCCAAGACGGCCACAAGACGGATCCAAGTGCAGTTGGAGACCCGTCAGGACCGCCCCCCGGAGAGGCCGAAATCTGGCCTGATGTGCTTCTGAAGCCTCAAGATGGCCCCAAGAAGGCCCGAGAGAGCTCAAAGAGGGGCCCGAGAGGCCCCCAAGACGGCCCCAAGACCGCCCAAGATCGCCCCAAGAGGGGCCCAAAAGCGCCCCCAAAAACGATGTTGATGGCTCTTGGGGGGGGGGGGGTCAAATACGCACCCCCCCCCCCCACACACACACTTTTGATCGATGGCCTACAAGATGGCCCCTGAGAGGCTCTCCGAAGATCCCAGAAGAGGCCCAAGAGAGCCCCAAGGGGGGCCCAAGAAGGCCCCAAGACCCCCCAAAAGATACCCAAGAGGGCCCCAAGAGGCACCCGAGAGGCACCCAAACGGCCAAGGTGGCCTCCAAGCTGGCTCAAGATGGCCCCAATGATGCCCCAGACGGTCCCCATGCCGATCCTAGAGCGCCCAACAGCGCTCCAAGAGAGCCCCAAGAACTTGTTTTTGCCATCAACGGCTTCACCACATAAGCCAACAGAGAAGCGACTCCTCACAGCCACTGCGGGCCATGCCGCAAGCTACATGCACCGAGCAGCGGTGCAAGAAAGGGGCGACCTCGCCTCGGCGAGCGCCGCTTCGGGGAGGGGGCTTCGCGAGTTCCTTTCGGAGCGCCCGCTACGCCCCCCCCCCTCGCGGATCGCCCCTCGGCTCAGACGCCAACAACAGGTCCTCCGTCAGCTGCGCAAGACACAGCCACCGTTGATAACCTTGAACCACTGTCTGGCCTGCAAGGCCAGAGACAATGCAAGAATAAAAAGCCGAGCGCAACCAAGCAGAGAAGCTGGACAATCTCTGCAGCAGCCGCACGAGAGCGACGGGGGTGCCAAGGCGCGAAAGCGAGACTTGGCCCAGAGACCCGACGCCGGGTGGCCCCTCACAGGCACGCTCGAACCAAGGGGAACGAGCTAAACCTGGACAGGGGCCCAAGCCAGACAGCGCAGCAGCACTGACCCTCTAAGAAGACCTTCCACCACACTCCTAAGGCGAGGGCGACTGGGTAGCATCGGCTGTGCACGAAGCTGCCCCGAGAGTCCTGAAGGCCGCAGCAGGGCGCGCGGTCGGGGAGGGCAAATTCCCCCCCCCCCCCGTGCCCTGACACGCACTCTGGACAAAAAAGTGGCGGCCCCCTGAGCAGCTGTCACCGCAAGGGAGACATCACCCCACGGCCGTGCGACAGGGGGACGAGGACAGCAAAGGGCAGTGAAAGAGACGGCCAGCGGCGCCTGCACGACGAAACTCCGAAGCCCGAGTTCCAGGGCTGGCTGCGCAACCAGCACCGC